TCTCTCTCTCTCTCTCTCTCTCTCTCTCTCTCTCTTTCTCTCCCTTTTCTTTCCTCTCGCTCTAAAAATTGATTTAAAAATCTTAAAAACATAACAATAAAAAATGATACTTGATTTAGTGATTGGAAGACTTAAAAGTATGTTTGGAACAACTTGAATATATCAATCTGCTTTTTCAACTGCAAATTTTATGAATCCTAAAATAGAGATAAAATGTTTCCCATGAGCCCTAGTCGGTTTGGCTCAGTGGATAGAGCATTGGCCTGCGGAATGAAGGGTCCCGGATTTGAATTTGTTGAAGGGCACATGTCCAGGTTGCGAGGTCAATCCCCAGTGGGGGGCATGCAGGAGGCAGCTGATAATGATTCTCTCTCATCATTGATATTTCTATCTCCCTGTCCCCTCCTCTCTGAAATCAGTAAAAGTATATTTTTAAAAATATTTCCAGTGAAATGCTTACACCCTAATTGAGATGCACTCTAAGAATAAAAGGCATACCAGAGTCAAAGGCTTACTAATACAAGTAAAATAAGTCATTAAAAATGTTGATATCTTGCCCGGCCAATGTTGCTCAGTGGTTGAGTGTCAACCCATTAAGCAGGAGATCAAGGTTTCATTCCCAGTCAGGGCACATGTCCAGGTTGCAGGCTTGATCCCCAATAGGGGCCGTACAGGAGGCAGTCAATTGATGATTCTCTCTCATGCATGTTTCTAACTCTTTTTCCCTCTTCCTGTCTCTGAAATCAATAAAAACATATTTTTTAAAAATAAGCTTTACTTAAATAGTATTGAATTTATTGTTTTAACATTATCATTAGTGTGATAGTGGTTTTGCAAACTTTTATAAAATATGGGAACGATAATATTTTGGATATGTTTGGGTGAAATAAAATGTATTCCTGAAATCAATTTCATCATACTCCTTTTTCATGGGGCTACCAGAAATCTAATCTAATAAAAGAAAGACATGCAAATTGATTGTTACTTCGCTATGCCCCAAGCCATGCCCACCAGCAAATCGGAGCGACTATATGCAAATTAACCCAACCAAGATGGCTGCCAGCAGTCACGGAGCTGGAGCATGTAGGAGGCTTGGTTGCCTGGGCGATGGAGAAAGACAAGCTTCCCGCCTGCCCTGGTCGACTGTGGCCTCTGCTAAAGGCAACAAAGTTTCAATTATAGAAGAAAAATAAATCCCAGATACCTGCTTCCAGCCAGCCTCCACTGGGAGTTTGGGTGCTAGGGGCCATGGCCAGCCTGCAAACAGCCATCAGCCCCTCACCCAGGCTGGCCAGGAGCCCCAGCGGGGACCCCCACCCTGAAGGGGCTGTGGCCAGCCTGAAAATAGCCATCAGCCCCTCACCCAGGCTGGCCACACCCTCATGGGGTGAGAGTCCCTGCTGGGGGTCTTGGCCAGCCTGCAAACAGCCATCACCCCCTATCCCAGGCTGGCCAGTCAACCCAGCAGGACCCCCCTCCCTGAAAGGGGTGTGGCCAACCTAAAAATGGCCCTAAGCCCCTCACCCAGGCTGGCCAGGCACCCCAGCAGGACCCCCACCCTGATCCGGGACACCCTTCAGTGCAAACCAACCAGTCTCCACCCATGCACCAGGCA